ATCCTTTCACCTTTGCTAAGCACGCAACAATTGAAATGATCTGGTGTAACAGCTGTTCTCTTTTGGGTCTCTTTCCTCCAAAGATACAAAATTCCTCTCAGTTCAGAGGAGCCAAATGATTATGGAGAATAGAGAGATCCAAACAATACGTAATCCTACTGATCGGGAACCAGAATTTGGCCTAGCTCTCAAATATTGAAGGTATTGATGGGCCAGTAGGGAAATTTTTGTCACATCGCCACATAATAGACCGTAAAAAAAAATGTGAGAAAGTACATAACAAAATAATGTGGTTAACATAATCACCTTCATTTAAGCACAAGGGTCAATGGTGTGCTAGATGGATCCCTCTGGGCTGTAGTAGTTCAGATGTAGGGAGGCGAAGATGAAGGGCAATCCAAGTGAACCATTTCGCTCGAGGATGGGCATTAGAAGCCCATACATTTTTGAAGATCTCTCTGATGGGGGCCCTATATCTAATATAGTTCCAAGCTCTCTTAATAGAAAAACATCCATCTGAGGAGTGAATCCATACAAGGAAATCATCAAAGGTTGAAGAGGGATTGTGAAAGACTTCACCACTTGCCAAGCTCGAAATAAAGGTCCAATAGTAGTTCTTCGCAGAGAGTAGGGTCCCGTGGAAACATGTCATCCATTTCGTCACTCTGTTAAAATCCTATTTAGCCGAAGTTCCTAGAAAAACATATAATTTTGGTTTTTCAAAATCCGAAAATTGTAACTTTTCGATTTTTCAAAAACAAAAAATTTTAAATTTTGTTTTTTATATAAAGAGGTTATAATCATCCTTGACAGTTAGATTTAAAATTGGATGGTTGAGGAGGTGTCATTTTTTGGACACAGAGTCCAAAATAAAATTTCTCAATTGTTGTGACACACTTTTAGGTATTAGATTTCGCATACAATAGCTAAAAGTGATTGTGACCTCGTTATACCAAAAATAAATGGTTTCATAGTATAAAATCCCTTAAAAGAAATTCCAAACTTCTTTAAAAGTGAGGTTTGTATAAGGTGCTCACTTTATCCTAAACAAGTAGGGCGCGCCTCAAACTTTTGTTGGAAGATGTAGTTCCAATGTCGTAAATCATACAATGGCTTGAAAGTCCATGTTCAACCCTAATTATGAAATTTAAAATTCTAAAAATAATGCATATCCGGCAAATGTATAAACACATAAAAATCTTGAAAATAAACGGTCCATATAACTTGTTGCAAGATATACTATTTTTAGGACTTCAAATTCTTTTTTTTTACATCATAAATGCCGACTTTGAGATGATCACTATGAAGATTTCCCAACTTAAGAATACTCTTTTCTATTGATTTTTTTATGTGCACCTTACTTCTATAGTATAACGTTGTAACCTTATATAAACTTCTTTCATGTTTTTAATTTTATGAGGATGTCTCTAATTTCCAATTATCGATTTAATGTTTTAGCCTCGCATTGCAAAAATAGGGTTAAGTACTAGGAGTAGTGAACATTTTCTTTACTAAATTTTTTTGTTTGGTACTCTTAGAACCCATCAAAATCCTTCTTTTTCTTCCCAAGTAGAAAAACGTTTGGTAAAATTCTTACAAAATCAAGTCGACAAGTACTTATTTATGTGCGAATTTGAGACGATCTCTGATGAGATCAATTCAAATTCATGCAAAACTAGTTAAAATCGATTTATCGATAAAGAATATGGCACCGCTCAAATTATAGATCCTACTGGTCAAATAGATCTAATCCATTATGGATCTACTAGTAGCGCCAGCCATAAATTGCACCTCAAGTAGATTGTTAAAAGCTATAATTTGAATTAAACTTGGAAAACAAGAAATAAAAGAAACAAAGAATAAATAAATAAATAGGGAAGTTCTAAATTAAACGACAACTAAAAGAATAAATAAAGGAAATAAAGAGATCACTTACTTGAGAAATCTTGAGGCCCGAATTAGGACCGTAGGTTGATTTACATCTTTAGTGCCTTCTCTTACTTTATTGAAGAATTGGTTTTAAAGGTTTTGGTTCTAGGAGATATTGTTCCTAGATTTTTTATTTAGGAATTCTATAGAGAATTTTGAAGGGTTCTTGGCTTAGTGTTACTAGCGTAGGTTTTTCCTAGATCTAGGGTTCATAGAGCCTAAGCAAAAAATTTAGGATTTGTTTGAAACTTTTTTTAATTTTCTAGGAGTTTTTCCTAATTTTCTTGGAGATTTGGGATATTCTAAGGATTTTTGGACGAATTGTGGTCTATTTTGTAAGGGAAATTCAAGAGGGTTTATATAACCTTAAGTTCTAGGCATGTTGTGAGGAATATTGCCCCAATTATTAGGATTTTACATGTCAAAACATGTCCAAAAACCAACCTAGAGCACCCCAAAAGCCTCCGGAAGGTTCCAGTAAATTCTGGGATTTTTTGGGTGAACATACGACCTAAAATTTGTGCGAGTTGTTATTGCCTATTGGGGTTTGATTGCAACATGCTCTGACTCGTACAAGGGATCTTTTTATTATTTTTCTGAACAATTTTACCCAAGCAATAACTTTCTAATTGTAAGTTGGATTCATAAAATTCTTGATCCGTTAGAAATCTTTCTACCTCATTAATATTTTGAAACCAAATTTGGTCAAATTTGAGTTATTGTTTAGGAGTATATAAGGCTAGAACTTCATAATCTCAGTTTTCAAGGTTCTAGTCTCGTATTAGTATCCAAGCTGATTTTCTGTATTCAATAGGCTCATTGGTGTCTTAGATTACTAGTTGAGGATATTAAGTTAGGTTTAAGGCCTAGGTTTAGGTCTAAGAAGGTAGGGTATAGGGTTGCAGTTTTTGGGGAATTCGTAAAAAAATAAAATAAAATCTCAAATTTTGTGTCATTGAAAATAGCAATTTGATACAACAGTAGTGGGGAATTCACAATCATCTATCCCTTAAATTTCAAAATGGGTGGTTCTATTAACGTCATTGAATAGACACAAAGTTCTAAAAAAAAAATCTCGAACTTTATGACTCACCCCAAACCATCTAATTTAACATCTAATGAATGGGAACGATTGTGACTTCCATATACAAAAGATAAATGATCTACTAGGCATAATTTCTACAAAGCTTGGGCATTATGAAAACAAAGTGAAACCTCACCTCGAATCCTCATTTGGAAAGCACTTTGGGCCTCGAAAATCTCCATGATGGCTTGAAATCAATTTCCAAAACAGATTATGAAATTTGAAGCTAAAAAAATGGTACAGATCTTGTGGATCCTTGAAGACTTATTTTTAGGGATGAAATCGACGGTCTAAATAATTTGCTACATTATAGACTATTTTCAGGGCCTCAAATCCTAATTTTTCTCACAACCATAATGGCCAAGGCCAAGATGATCGATTCGAAAATTTTCCGACGCCCAGAATTGCAATTTTCAATGAGTTTTGAGGTAACACTTCACTTATTTTGATAGGGTTGCAACCCTATAAAACCAATTTTCCCATTATAAGCTTGTTTAGATTGTCTACAAAGAGACCATTTATCTTTTGTACATGAAAATCACAATCATTCTCACTTCTTATATGTCAAATTGGATAGCTTGGGATGAACCAAGAAGTTTGAGAACTCTTTTTTTGAAACTGTGCCTATTCAATGACACTCCTACAATCACACATTCTGAAATTTAAGGCTAAAGAATGATTTTATCTTCCTTATAGAAAAGATAAATCGTCTCCTTATAAATAGTCTCATATAATTTCATGAAGCTTGTACTATCACTTCTACCAAATGTAAAAACTACGAAAAAATATACAGTGAGACCATTTACCTTTGATACAATGTGGTCACATTAATCTTGACCATTGGATTTAAAATTGGATGGCTACAAGCTCAAACTTCAAAAAAAAAATTTCGAATTTTGTGATACAACTAAACTATCAAATTTCACATCAAATGGTTGTGAAGAATTGTGATCACCTCGTATCAAAAGCAAATAAGTAAGTATTTTAATTTATTCAATATTCTATATCATATTTTTTATATGAGATTTTAATATTCTATAGCATATTTGTTATCTAAGACTTAAGCCCCTTAATAGATTGCAAAAGAGCAATAGAATTCGTTATTCTAACCTCTAATCTTTAATAGCTCAAATGTCTAAAACACTTAATATGCAAAACAAGCAAATCCATTATATCGCATATAAAATATCCAATATTCCAAACTATAAGACTCCCAAGGAGGCAAAGACGAATGGTTCCTGACATTGGAGAAAACAAAATCAACTCTCAAACATGAATTTCTTCTATCGGTGGCCTTTTTTTCATCCCTTTTTTGCTTACCTTGGCTGTCTACATTTGCCCTAATCTCTCTTTGAAGTTCTTGTAGGCATACTTTTAGCATTCACAGTAATATCGGCAGTGTTCCTTCTGTGGGAAAATACCCCAGTATAAGTATTTCCACATTAGGGTACAAATAGCGCAATTTCAATCCTTGGGATTATTCTTTTTACTTGAAGATGATGAAGATATTGCCAAAAAATTAAAAAAAATAAAATTAAGCAATGAAATATTACCAAACAACCAAAAGAAATTTTAATGTGAGCAATGCGACCGATACACCCGCATATACGAGTGATGCGCCATATACACGATCACAACTCATTTTTCCAGATATACATGACTGACCGCATTTTAAAAAAATGAATGGCACCCTTGCACTCATACATCTGAAATAAGGGGAATCCAGTAAAACTTACCTTGTTCCCAGAGCTTGTAAGCAAAAGTCATAACAAAAAGGCAGTATGGTACTTACAATGCAAGGATTCCTTAATTGCAATCGATGGGGTTTACAAGATCCCATCTTTAGAGAGCAATAGGCCATGCATGATGTGTGTGTGTGTGTGTGTGTG